TAATTATTCGTATAGTGAAGTTAAATTTATTTAATATCTATCAGGGATGAAGAATTTGTATTTATTTCAAATTTATTTTCAGGGAAGATTACTTTAAATTTTATTATTATTCCTATAGGTTTTTTATTACTTTTGAGATTATATTTATCAATCTCTTTTGCTAGCTAGCTTTATCTTATATGATTTTGTAATTCTTTGTGCACAAAGTTACCTCTACGTATATCTTGTCAATTTTTATTGTCGAACTGCTTGTCCTCTTATACTCGACCTGGATATCGTCCTAGAATCATCGTCTAGAATAGCTAGAACCTGATGCTTTTTTTATGCGTCTGGAATCTCGTTCTGGAATCTTATTGGAGTCCTTTTTAAGAGATTGGACTTTTGAATCCTTCTTTTTGGCTCAACTTTTAATTTTCTTTATACTGGTTGACTAACTTTAATTATCTTACTATTTTCCACTATAATTATTTCTATTTATATGGGTTTTTCCCACGTTACTTCTTTTCAAAACCCCCCTCTGACAAATTCTTTCGTAACTAATCAATAATCTTCTAAATTTTTTATTTTTCCTACTCTCTTGATTTTTTCATCCTTGTTAGGGCCTTTTCACATATATGCCTGTTCTACTAAATTCCGATTTTTTTTCCCACTTCACTTCACTTCACTTTATAATTTACAATTTTACAATCACATTCCAGTTTAATTACAAAAATTTTAACTTATATATCAAAACATTCCTTACTTCTATATTTGTATTTGAATTTCATATGTAATATTTTATGACTTGTGAATCCAACTTTATTTTTGACATTTCACTGACATCCTACTGATATATAAAATTTTACTTTAGACATTAATATTTCTTGATACTTATTTTTCTTACTCCTAATACTACTATTAAATAAAACTATGATATTTTAGCTTTTATTTGCTAGATGTCATTTGCTATTACTAATTAATTTTGATTATGTTTTTTCCAATAATTCCTTGGCATGTACGCTATTTGACTAAAATGATAATGGTTTCTATACTTAAATCTTTGAAATTTATTCTGTTCTAGTAATACGACTCTCCGATAATAATTCACAATAACCTATTTAATACCAACAATTTTTTTTTACTCAAATATTTTTCTAAGTTTTACAACAATCATTTCAAACTTTTCTCTTCACCGTGTCTTATTCAAGTAAAATTTTAATTTAACTTATAAATTGCTATCAATAATTTGATTTCATCTCAATATTTATTATTTTTTGTCTAGAATTGCGGAAAATGTAAAATTTTCAAAATACCAATGACATATAAGTTTTGTGACTGAGAAAACTGAAAAGAAACAAGTAAGTTTGATGTTTAACATTATTAGAAACGTTTTAACCCAAATCAAAAATGGTTCTTTACTCGAATATCACCATTATCTACTTCTATTTGTTTAGATAATGCATTAGGATTTTGTCTAACACACTGTAGAACATCATTTTCCTACTCTTCTCGCTTAGCTCGATTGTAAATTTTCTTCCTTGGTTTAGTGTTTAATCCATAAGTTTTCAAGTTCAATTTTAATTTCTCTAAAATTCTCAAGTTGGGTTAATTTTATTACATTCAAATTATAAATACTTATAGAAACTAAAGATCCTTTTCTAAATCTGCATTTTCATTTCTTAGATTCAAACATTTTATTAATTTTTATTTGTCTTCATTTCAGTAAAGAACCATTTTTGATCTGTACTAACACGCTTCAAATAATGTTAAACGTTAAATTTTGTTTTCAAAGTTTTCTTAATCAGAAAACTTAAATATCTACACAAACAATAATAGGTAACGTATATATTTTTGGAATGCATTTTTAGCCCTCTTTCCGTTTTTGAAATAAAATATAGGGTGTTCCATATAAAATAAAAAACAATAAAAAGTTGTGGTCATATAACAAAAACTAAAATTATTATCACATTTATTTTTATGCCATCGAATGTATCTCAAAAAAGTGCCTGTAGACTGTTCAAACCGTTTTAAGATATCTTGAAAGGGAAACGAGAAAAGAGCAGCAATCGGTTTAGCCAAAAATCGAGAAGCGCCCCGTTACTCTAAAACGGTAACAGATAGAATGATGCAGCTGGGTCATTGTTATGCACTCATGCACTAGAAGAAAATTTATGAAAAATTTGGCTATCATGCCTTCTTTGGTTTTGAAATTACACCCACTATTCCATATTTTTTATTAAGGTCATTTTTATGCAAAACATATTTTTTTCAGCCATTCACCGATACGATTTATGCAATTTTTTTTAAACATAAACTCATAGATTTATATATGTTTTTAGAGAATTCATAGAAACATAAATTATTACTGTATGAAATATTTGTTCATGTAAAAGCTGTACATCATCTCATTTCACCGTTTCCACTCATTCTGAATTTTATCGAAAATTATTGAGTACATCTCTGTTTATTACAGGGAAGCACAGACTTATAGGGAACAGGGGCCACTCGGGAAAAATATAAGCCAAGGACGGGCCACTACAAACAATATTTATTAACACAAATTTTTTTATTTTTAAATAGTATGAAATACAATGATAAAAATAAAATAACCTTCAAAAATGTTTGTTGTAATAATTATGTAATCATTACAATGTAATATTTCATGTTTTATTATTTTGATGCATGACATTGCATTGAACTAACAAGTTTTTTTATATTTGGCTCCACATTACTTGTAGCCACACGTATAATTGCTTCCAAATTTTCATTTGCCAGACGGTTTCGGTTTTTCGTTTTGTTAAGTTTCATCACTGAAAACGTTTGTTCACAAATATACGTCGATCCAAATAAGCTTGCGCATTTCAATGCATTTATTCGCAACTCTTTATAAGCGTTTTTATCAACGCAACGGTAGAAGTTGAGTAAATTACCTTCATTAAATTTGTTTCTTAAATTATCATCATTTTGCATGTCTATTAATTCCAGCTGCATTAATTCCGGCGCATTTTCGGGTGAAATGTTGAAAGGATTGCTGAAAATGTCCAATAGCGGTTTAACTTTTTTGAAGTCTACAAAACGATTTTCAAAAGCTTGTATCAAAATATCAATTTTTTCAACATGAGCGAAATTGACGTCAGTTTTATTGAACTTCTCCATAATTTTTTTGTAGTTCGGAAAATGGCCGTAATTGGCTGAATTGATTTGTGTCCTGAAAAGACTCAATTTGCATTGAAAGGACGAAACATGAGAGTATAGCTGCGAAATCAATTGATCTTTGCCTTGGAGTCGCGTATTTAAGACATTCAAGTGATTTGTGATGTCTACAAGAAACGCTAAGTCACACAGCCAATCAGGGTTGTCGAGTTCGGGGACGTCGTTTTTCTTTTCCGCCAGAAATAGTTGGATTTCTTCAATCAAGTTAAGAAATCGCTGTAGTGTCAACCCACGACTTAGCCACCTTACTTCAGTGTAAAACAGGAGATCACCATATTCGCTTTCAATATCCTCGAGAAATTGTTTGAATTGTCGGTGATTGAGACCTCGTGATTTTATAAAGTTTACGGTAGGTACTACAACTTTCATAACATTTTCAAATCCCAATAATTTTGAACAGAGGGCCTCTTGATGTATAATACAATGAAACTGCATTAATTCCTTGGTATTTATGTTTTTAGTTTGTAAATATGTTTTTAACAGAGTTACTATCCCAGATGTACTTCCAACCATTGAAGGTGCTCCGTCAGTTGTAATTCCAGATATTTTCGTTAAATCCAAATCCATTATAGAACATTTTTCTAGAAGAGCTTTGAGCATGTCACTTCCCCTGGTTTGACTTGTCAAAGAACTCATACCAATCAGTTCTTCACTCACTTCAAAATTTTGCGTTACACCTCGTAAAAATATTAATAGTTGAGCAGTTGAACTTATATCTGTAGATTCGTCGAGCGCTATAGAAAAATACTCAAAACTTCTCGATTTCGTAGCTAATTGCTCTTCTATATTATCTGCTAATGCGGTAATTCTTCTTTGAACAGTCATCCGATTTAACTGAATTTTTTCAAACTTCTTTACATTTTCCGGACAAATTTTTTTTGCGGCGATATCCAAACATTGCTTAACAAACTCACCATCTTTAAAAGGCCGACAAGTTTTCGCTATTATTCGAGATATTTCAAAGCTAACTTCAGTGGCTGTTTCAGCATCTTGAATTGGTTTTGTAAACATAGATTGCTGGCCTATTAGTTCCCGTTGTAAAGTGGAAATTCTTTGCGTTCGATTTTCGCCAGTTAATTTGGTAAAAGTTGGATGCTGGGTTTCATAGTGCCTTTTCACATTATATTCCTTCGGAATAGAAACACTACTCTTGCATATTAAACAGACAATTTTGTTATGCGATGAAATAAAAAAGTATTTTTCGGTCCAAATATCATGAAACTGTCGATTTTCATCTTCAACCTTACGACTACGTTTCTTACTGGGGCCTGGTTTATCCATATCAAAATTAATATTATATGTTACAGTCGGTAAAAGCCAAGTTCGAACGACGAAATATTTACTCGTCACAGATTACAGTTCTCAAACAGTATAACGTTCGCTTATCCGTAGTCAAAACTTAACTGCCCCGGTAGCCGGCGATGCGTCGTATTTATACGAGTTACCAAACATCGAGAACCATCCACTTTGTTCGGGGATCGACGTGTTTCGCGAATCTGTAATCTAGTTGATGCGACAGATTTCTAGTCTCGTAATAATATGCTTGGACCGGAGCGCGGCGAGTAGAATACTTTTAAAATTCGTTGGCGGGCCGCATAAACATCGACAGCGGGCCGCGGTATGTGCATCCCTGGTTTATTACATACAGTTGGCGAACTGTGGAGGGTCTTTACAAACCGAAAACAAAGCGCGGCCTTCTATGCTCGTCTTACGATTTCCACTCAACTGAAATTGCTGGTTTACATATGTTTGCCGTTATTAAATAGAATAATAAACTCAGCCGATACATACGACTTACTTTTCCACAGGTGAAATGATGGACTGGGCCTACAGCGGCGTGAACAAGACGGTGCCCCGCAATGCAGGTCCGGAATGTGCCGGTTTCATGAACCCGATCTGGCGGTGTGTCGACACAGCGGTGGTACTGGTCTTGGCGGTGTGGCTCTTCAAATGGAGCTACCCCAAGCTGACGCTGCCTACGGCCGCGTACGTCCGCCGAGACAGAGGCGGCAGACGCACCCTGCTGGTACTAATGTGCTTGATTTGGGGCATGGAGATTGGATATAAATTTTCTTCAAGAACTGTGATATACTTGTTGAATCCTTGTCACGTTGCTACAGCAATACAGGTAAAGGAATGCCTTACACATTTTTATTAACATTTAAAACTCCTTGTAGTGTTCTGAAATTGATAAGTAGAATCTACTTTACGTTACCATGACGCCACAACGTCTTCAGCTAAATCGGTCTACTATTAGAGGTAGTAAAGCGAATTTGGTAAACTCCTAACGGGGTGACCAGAAAGATAAAAACTATCTTTATTTGTACTGTGAAAAAGTGATACTTAACAAATAAACTAAAACAAATAACGAAACTAACAAACACACTCACACTAACTAACACACACACACAAACTACACTACTACACTACACTAACTAACAAAAATTAAAACAAATAACTTTGCCTTTTTTATGTTAACTTTATCTTTGTCTATAAACAGTACCAAAATGAAAAAAATTCTTTGCTGGTGAAGTTTCTCTAGAGGACATGTACAGGGTGTATCTTAAGTGATGACTTTAATTTCAAGGGGTGATTCCTTATCATATTTTAAGCAAAAAAGTGCATATGAACATCGGTCCGCAAGTGCTTCGTTACCGAGATACAGGGTGTCAAAGTTGGGAAAATAAATCGCATTTTCTTAAATATCTTTCGACTGATTCGAAATAATTTAATGAAATTTCATACACGGGGGTTTTTTGGAATGACAAATTCAAAGCTGTGGTCAATTTAGGTGTATTTTTTTGAGGGCGCCAATAATGAAGTAGCTAGGAGCAACCGTTTCCATGAAAAACGCATTTAAACTTACTTGAGCTGGAAATATCATAAAAATTGAATTAAATCAAATGCTCAAAATGAGAACCGCCACTGTCAATACAAGCATGTAATCTTCTGCTCATCGACTGTCGCACACGTTCCAAAATTCCTGGAGTGTTGCGTATGACATTACAAGAATTTACAATTCTGTTTCTTAAATCATTTTCATCTACAACTGGCGTTGCATAAACAAGCGACTTCAGATGTCCCCAAAAGAAATAGTCCAGAGGATTTAGGTCTGGAGATCGTGCTGGCCACGGCTGAGGTCCTCCCCGACCTATCCATCGCTGAGCAAAAGTGTCATTAAGATGTTGGCGAGCAGCAAGACTGAAATGAGCAGGTGCCCCGTCGTGCATAAACCACATGTCATTTCTGGTTGCTAGTAGTACATCTTCTAACAGACCAGGCAATGTTTCAGCTAGAAACTGTCTGTAAGTCTCACCATTCAGTCGAGGAGGAAGAAAATGCGGTCCGATGACATGATCACCAATAACTCCGGCCCACACATTCACCGAAAACTGCTGCTGAAATCCACGTTCTCCAATAACATGGGGATTTTCATAGTTCCAAAAATGATTATTGTGGAAGTTTATGATGGCATCCCGTGAAAAAGTTGCCTCATCTGTGAACAGAATTTTAGACGTAAAGTTGGGATTCTGCGCAGTTTTTTGGAGAAACCATCGACAATAATCTAACCGTGCAGGAAAATCTCTTGGCAACAGTGGTTGCACGCGTTGAATGTGGTACGGATAAAGTAAATTTGTGTGCAAAACCCTCCAAACACTTTGATGACTTATGTTAAACTGTTCAGATAATCTTCGCGTACTACTTGACGGATTAGCTTCCACTTCTTGTAGGATTGCTTCTTCTAGTTGTGGTGTCATTATTGTTCTCGGTCTACCAATACGTTCAGCGTGAGCATTTAAAGATCCAGTTTCGCACAGTCTAGCATGGAGCCTTATGAAAGTTCTTTCTGATGGAAGTGGTCTATTGCGAAATCGTTACTGGTAAATTCGACGGGCTTGTGCAGCATTTCCATCTGCTAGCCCATAAATGAAATGTATTTGAGCTTTTAATGCCAAATATCATCGGAATTTTGTTATCACAGGAATTTTTATATTCAACAAAAAACATTTCTTTAAAATCTTTTTTAAGCAGATAATCGTTGCCGGTGGCGCAATAAAAAAAAACCTAAATTGACCACAGTTTTGAATTTGTCATTCCAAAAAAACACCGTGTATGAAATTTCATTAAATTATTTCGAATCAGTCGAAAGATATTTAAGAAAATGCGATTTATTTTCCCAACTTTGACAGCCTGTATCTCGGTAACGAAGCACTTGCGGACCGATGTTCATATGCACTTTTTTGCTTAAAATATGACAAGGAATCACCCCTTGAAATTAAAGTCATCACTTAAGATACACCCTGTATAAGTAAGTCGTTTTTGAACACCCAGTACATTGAAATGATTCTAAAATTAGTTAGGTACTTAGCAACTTATAAAACAATAGATATTAACACTTATGGTCAACCTTGAATGAAATCTAATGAAAGTAGTCATCAATATTATTAGAATTTTGAAGTATGAAGCGTTACATAGTATTTGAGTGTTTTTACATTAAGCAGGTGGACTTATTATTTATTATATAAAAGAAATATGCTGAATCATCGACTATATAAATACGATATAGTAAAATTGAAATATTATCACGACCACGTTATTAAAATAAAGAAATCTGTCAAATTACGTTTGAGTGAAGTATGTATATCAGATCACTTCAACGAGATAAGAAAGTTTCAAGAGCTTTCAAATTTAGAAAACGTACTACTTACTAGTACCTAACTCTTATCAGCTGGATTGACATCGTTTTAATAATAAGAAGAGACCATAATTAGGTATTACTAAATTTTTATAAAATTTGCCTCTCTCTTTATTCTCAATACGTTGTTATTTTTTCAGTATACGTTATTAATTCCTTGGTATATTTAAGATAATGAACAGAACGTAATAAATATATTATTCAGGACATAATATCATGTTATAATTTTACTATTTTCGGAATGATACTAATACTAGATATAGTTGTCATAAGTCTCAGGAGAGGAATTAAAAAAAAAAGTTATTTCAAACAATTATTTATTATTTTAATCTCGTCAGATTTCACATACACAACATAGGACTCGATAAACGAACAAGCACATAAATCACCATGGCGACTAATACTTGTCTAACCAAATTCAAATAAAAGTTAACAAAATCTGTCATGAAGTTTACCCTTTTCTTTCGTATCGTATATTAATAAGATAAGAGTGTTTCGGATCTAATATTATAGACTACGTACTTTTCTCATTGTTAAGATTTAAGCAATTTGTCACTTATACTTATTCTTTTTGCTGTTTTTTATTTGAAATTTTTATAATAATTTATGTTTTTTTCTTGTTCCAATTTGTCTTATACATTGTATAAGAAATTTTTATAATAATTCATGTTTTGATGCGCTTGTCTGAAAATGGGATAAAATCTGAAACCATCGTAATAAACAATTTAGGGAAGAAAAATAGTTTTATACACTAGTTTTTTTGAGAGCCCACATAATTGTTTAAAGAAGCAACATATATGAATATAAATTGATTTATTTTCACCCAAGAAGGCACCCTACGTGGCATGGTACATTCGCCTTTGGACACCCTGTTTATTAATACTCACACCACATCAGTATTTAAAACTACATAGATACCTACATAAGATACAAAGTTTTATTACTGAGATTGAAAAACTGTGTCAGAAAAATAATACTTCTTGAACTCTTCACAGATTATAGAAATTAAAAAGGGTAGTCGATAATAGTGGACTTACTGTATGATTAATGACTTCCTTAGACTGGCGTTATGTTACCTACTAAACCTGGTTTCCAAGAAAATAGTAACTGAAACAATATATCCAATTATCTATTCTTATTTGCTTATTCGTGCTGTTTGCTTGGCGTAGGTTCATTGGTCCCGTAAATTGAGAGTTCTCGTGAGTAACTTCCTTGGAAAAATAATTCATGATAAAATAAAATTCTAAATAAATAAAATGTGGTCATGAAGCACACAAACATTTAATATTCAATACAGAGCTAATGGAAACCTTACGAAACAAAAAAATATTAAACGATGTTATATTTCCTGAACTAATAACACTATTAAAAATCCATCAGAAGCAGAAAGTACTGAAGATTAATATAATATTCATAAGTGTAATAAATTTAACTTGAATTTTTTTTGTCATGAACACTTTTTAAAATCTCTTCATAGATACGTAATGTAAAAAGGACCACTCCCCCGAAATTCACTTTATGCAACAGATGGAGTGACCTCTTTTGCATCTTTTACTAGAGCCATCTGTCAATGCCTCAAACTAGGTACCGCAGCGTTTTGAATTATTGTGCCGAGTGATCTTTAATCTAGCACCTATTCTGGTACCCTGTACTCTAGCACTTGTTTGTGCAGCTTCTCTATGGATTGAGTCCTGTACTGACTTCTAATTTTGGTTGTCCCCAAAAAACCTGCCTTCCATACTCTAATATTTCATAGTCGTACAGAGCATGAAACGCTGTTTCCGTTGCGTTTTAATCTAGAACACATTCTGGTACCCTGTACCCTAGCACTTGCTATATGAACAGGAATCAGTAAATCATCTGGATGTCCCAAATGTTTTGTACTCTTCGCTATTCAATTCCTGTAGTTGCTCGTTCATATTTTACGTCTGATATAGGTCAATAATATCAAAAAGAAATTTTCGTTTTCAAAAATAATCCATGTTTCTGGTCTCGCTGATTTATTTAAATAAATTTTAATTTTTCTAAATTATTTTGTCTTTATCAGTGTTATTTAGTGAAAAAAATATTGTAGATTTTGTTATTACTGTTTATTACTAATATGTAGGTGTTCACATTAAATACAAAAAAGTTAAATGATATTCCCAAATCAGCACGATATTCCTGCACCAGAAGGAATACCTGTACATGCCATAGTTTTAGTTCCACCTGTGATGGAGATGTCGGAGAAATACCAGTTAGCGGCGTTCTGTACTAAAATATAAACGTTAGCCCCAGAAGAGTCGACCTGTTCCATGAACATTCTTCACCGTCAGGTCGGTAACTGGTACGCCTCCAGTTGGTGTACCAGTGGGGCTTCCATTTTCGTAGTCACCCTCAATGATGATACCATATCTGTGGATACCAGTCAGGGTGATGTCTTCGTATGTAACATCAGACACGGATCCAGTTGCTCCATAGACGGTCTTAATTCTAATTCCGTTGGCCGAGTTGGCAACCTCG